CGGCACACGGTGCTTAGATTGAGACCGACTCATATGTTGACAGATTGGAAGTCGAGCCTTGAGCTCGTTTGCTTTGTCGACAGTGATTGGGCCGGCTGCTCGAAGACAAGAAAGTCGACGAGCGGAAGCACGGTGCAATTGCTTGGCTCACCCATAGTGCACACATCTCGCACACAGGCTACCGTAGCACTGTCTTCCGGCGAAGCAGAACTGTATGCTATTGGCCAAGGCATTAACGAAGCTTTGTACGTAAAGTCGATCATCCTTGAAGCAGAATTTGCGCGCAAGGTGCGCATTACTGTTCACACGGATAGCACGGCTGGAAAGTCTATTGCCTCACGGTTTGGAACTGGCAAGCGTACAAAACACGTTGAGCTTAGGTATCTGTACATGCAGAATCTGATTGACGCAGGCATGCTGCGAGTGTGCAAGATTGGCACAAAGGACAACTGTGCTGATCTCCTCACGAAGTATGTGTCCACGGAGACATTGCAGTCTCTGTTGAATCGCTTAGGATTGATCCGAAACGACTTCCGATTGTGACTGAAGCACTGGCGTCGTTTCACTTACCCTTAAAAAAATTGTTTCACATGTTCCTTTTGGCATTGCATGTTCAGTCTTCACATGTTACATGTTCTGACTGAGGGACCGAGAGAGAGAAGAAGAAGAAGAAGAAGAAGAAGAAGAAGAGCATTGGCATTGACAAACATTGTCTGCATTGCTGCTTGTGTCACATGGCATTGACAAACACTGTCTGCATTGATGCTTGTGTCACATGGGGACATGTATTGGTTTCGCGTTTTGATTCCTTACATTGCTTCGCATACGCCATGCCCAGGCTACAAACAAAAGATTGCATGCGTCAGCACCCATTGCACAACGAAAACTCGCCCTTGCAAGCAACAACACATTGACCACACGCAACAACGCATTGTACAGCAGCATAGTGTTTAGAGTAGAACCTCTCTAACTAGCACATTGTACATAGATTGCTTCTTTCAAGTTTTCCCAGTATTTTATTTTCTCCTTTAGGATCTTCCGATTTTCCTTTTAGGTGAATTGTGATCTTGGAAGTGCTTTTGAGAATTTTTTGTCTTTGTTGCATTCTCTGCTGTGATTGCAGTCACGAGAGCATTCCTGTGGGCATTGTGCACCTCCGAAGCCCCATTGCAGCCATGGACAACGCTGCAATTGAGAACAGTTGCGGCATTGTGTCGTCCCAAGGTGTTGGGATTGAGCTCAGGAAGACGGCATTGGCCAATCTTGAGCGATTGGTCACGCTGGCCATTGGCCAATTCGGACCGGAGGCCTTGCTCTGGACCCTATTGGCTTCCATTGTGAGTGCCCTCCCATTGGAGGAAGAGATCACACTGTCGCTGGTCGCCGCACACCCGCAAGAGACTGGTGTATTGGCCTTGGCGGAATTGTTGGCGCGTCTCGAAATCTTGATCGATCGTGTCACCTCCGCATTGGTGGCCCGGACACGCCAGATTCCACAGCTGGCGTTGCGTCCTGAATTGCCGGTTTGCGACGGCGCCGTTGCCAACTGGAAACGACCATTGGTGTAGCATGAGCCTAAAGGTCAAGATGCTCATTGAGCGCTGCGAGGCGGCCATTGGTGAAGTGGTGGATCTTTCAACGGCCATTGGCTCCTACACTGCGTTGCCCCACATGGATTGGATCAAGGCATTGGTTCAGCAGACGACCCTGGTGAAGGCATTGGGAGCTGGACGATACGACGAGACATTGTCCAACTTGTGGGCAATTGTCTGCCTGCCTTTGAGTCTGGTTCGGACATTGGTGGGCATGGATACCGATGATGCTGAGGGAGACATTGAGCTGGACTGGGATTGTCTCCCATGCCGCCAGCTGAACATCGCCTTCTCAATTGAAGGAGCCGTGGCGAAGCTCGCCCATTGGGTCAGGCAGACCCACTTGGAGGCCCATTGGCAGGAGGCTGCGGCATTGGTCTTCTTCCGGCCAACAAAGGCCTTCATGGCCCCGATTGCCAAGAACCCCAGCTTCACCGGGGGGTTGAGCAATTGGCATAACCAGTCGTATGTGCCTGCCACGACGCTCATGGTGGCAAGCGACTTCGCATTGTCGCCATTGCAGCGGGACCTGGCTTTGGTGGTGGAATTGGGATGCACGGTATTGGACCTTGCATGGGCAATCCACCAGGATGCCATTGCGAACCCGATTGGCTTCCAGATGGGCTTCACGCGCTCCGTTGCCTACCCGAAGGCATTGAGGGATGTCTTCTCGATGTGCGGCATTGATGATGACATGAACGAAGTGGAGATTGGCGGCACAGCCAGTCGCCCATCGGAGCATCGTGGTTCGGTGCCCGAAGCCGTGCCATCCATTGGCACGACCATTGTGGTCCCGAATGGCAGCCATGTCACGATTGGCTAGGTGCATTGCCTGAGTGCAACAGTTTTGATGAGCTGCTGATTGGCATTCGACGTCGTACGCTGCGTTTTCTGGATCTCAGAATTGCCTCGAGCAATATATTGACTGGAATTGGCAGAATCGATGGTTGATCGTTCTCAGCTGCGGTGCATTGCCACTCGTCACTGCGTGATGTTGCTTCCACGTGGCATTGTACAGTCTTTTGAGCCGGATTCTTGCAGATTTACATTGCAGTTCCGAAGTGCAAAAGAGATTTGAGCCTGAGCAGTTGAGTCGTGTTCCATTGTTGCTTCTTTTGACTGAATGATGCTGATATATATTTTGGATGGAGTTTGAATTGTTTCGAGAATCTGACCTGATGCGAATTTGCAATGAATTGCGAATTCGAGGGACCGTGTTAGGATGATTGGTCAGATCACCTTTGTATCCACACAGAGATGCATTGGTCACCAGAGGATTGCTGGATCAACTTTGGCTCAAGTCGGAAAACATTGAGCTCGAGTGATTGCATCACACAGCAGAGTTGGTGCTTGTGTTTGTGCTTGATTGAATTGAGCAGTTCTGAGATCACCTGATTGAGTAGACGATTTCGCTTTTGTAAAATTTCATTAAGGGGGGCTTAAAGGGGGGCTTAAGGGGGGCTTAAAGGGGGGCTTAAGGGGGCTTAAGGGGGGGCTTAAGGGGGCTTTAAGGGGGGGCTTAAGGGGGGGGCTTAAGGGGGGGGCTTAAAGGGGGGGCTTAAGGGGGGGCTTAAGGGGGGGCTTAAGGGGGGGCTTAAGGGGGGGCTTAAGGGGGGCTTAAGGGGGGGCTTAAGGGCTTTCACCCTTTCCCCCCCCCCCCCGAAGGGACCCCCTTTGCAGGGACCCCTTTGAAGGGGGGCTTAAGGGGGGCTTAAAGGGGGGCTTAAAGGGGGGCTTAAGCCCCCCTTTGCCCAAAGGGGGGGGGCCCATCCTCGTCTTAACACTCGAGGTGAAACAGTCGCAGGCGCGAAAACCAAAACAAGCAAACTTGTTTGCATTGATCTTACCATGCTGGCTGGATGTTGAGTTCTTGCAACAAGGGTCTCTGCGCTGGCGGTTGCTTCTTTTGCAATCACGACTTTTCACTTGCTGGCCTGTACAGTTTGATGTTTGGCGCTTTGGTTTTGGCAAGTTGCTGCGGGTTTTCGTGGTGTGTTTGGTGGTGTTTTTTGGTGACCTTCTGGTTGCACTTGAGCCAAACACTGTGGTGTTTACTGGACTGTTGAATTTTCCACTGTCTTGGAAGCCAACTTAAAGTTGGTTTGTTTTTTTCGGAAGAATCCACAAGACACCAGTTGTTGGCAAAGTTCAGGTTCAGGCAGCCTGCTTCTTGTCAGACCTTTGCAGCCTTTCCTGCAAACTGCCAAGCATTTTTGGGTGCTCTGGACTCAGTTCAAGAAGAGTGGTCCGTTGTGCTGCGTTCTTATTTGCTTTGGTTAAGAGTGTTTTTAGGAATCTTGAAAAGATTGTGTTAACTCGAAAAAAGAGCGGGATATTAAGAGCGTTTTTGGAAATCTTAAAATATTTTGTTGAACCTTAGCAATGGAAAAAATCGGCCGCTGCGCGGGGCAGTAAGGGTGTTGAGGAGCAAGTGTGTTTAGCAAGAAGGCCACTTTCTGGCCAGTTCCCCGGGATAGTGGATTTTATTTGGGAAACGTTTGCTGCAACTGCCTGGCGCGCCTGTGAGGCTGCAGCTCCAACAGTGCCAGTCCTCTGTAGTCTGTGTACAACACGGAAACCAGGCCTGCGCGGACATAACATGGCCTTGTTGGTCAAGCATTCAGGGCAGCGATTGCGCTGAGTTGCTTTTTGCGCGCTTTCCTTGATCAGCAAGAGCGAGAACGCCAAGGAGGTGCATTGCGCGTTAACGCAGCAAAGTCTCTGCCCTTACAGCACGCGCTGTGCTGCTATTGTGCAGCAAAGTCTTTGGTTTCAATTCTCTGCGCATTCACACTTTTCAACCACTGCAAGAAGGTGTACTGAATGCTATGCTATTGCCACGGCCCTGGCGCTTGCGTGGGAACTGTCCCTATGGACTTGGGCATTTTAGGTCACGGAGGTTCCTTGCCTTACGGCCTGCCCGTACTCGATTAATGTCTGCACCAGACGTGGCGCAGCATTGCTATGGGTGACAGGCAGCTAAGTGATTGGTGCCGGTAGGTTCTTGTTTTCATTGGTCTCACCTCGCTGGCCTTGCGTTAAGTTGTCTTGCAATAAGCGCCACTGCGCTAGCGGTTGCTTCTTTGTAGTCACGACTTCTTTTACGCTCGCTGGCTTGTACAGTCTTGACTCTCAATGTGTCTCTGTCGCGTTAGACTGGCCCACTGTGCTGCTGATGTAGTAAAAGGGCCCACTTCAAGAAAGAAGAAAGAGGAGACCGCAGTAACCTTCGGAGGAAGGCGCATGGACCCAACAAGCGTGTTGCAAAGGCCCGTCGGACGCAATCCACACTGCAAGTGTACCGTGGCGCACTTGACTGTGTTTCGACCAGCCAGAGAAAGTAGACATCAGCCGCCATGGTGACTCCCCAGTCGGGCTTGTATGGCGTTGCAGGCAGGTGCCGACAACATGGATGCCTGGGCCACGCCCTGCGGAGAGCACATCGCTTTAAAGCCACCACAGCGTTGCCAGATAGTGCAGAATCGAGCCCTTGCGGCAGTTGCCTGCCTTTGGTTCCAGAGCAGATGGTGAGAGCCAATGCAGCATGCATGGATCCCCAGTGAGAGCGGTACTGCTGCATGGGTGTCGGAACCGGGCTAAGCAGGGTCCGGGGAGTTTTTGCTGCGCGCCCTCAATCCCTTTCCTTCCGTCCTGATGGCCACGAAGTTTGGAGGGTCCGCAGAAATCAGAGTCTTGGAGCATGGCCTGACCCATTCCGGGGTAGAGCAATCCCCCCCCCCGCCTTGGTTCTTCCTTCTTCCCCCACGGAAAAGTCTGATCCACTGTGCAGCCTCTCCCTCGCGCATGCATTTGAGCTTAACCAGTCCGTCTCATGCTGACGCCTGGTGGCATGCTTCCGCTGGGCCCTCCTGGAAGCGGCATTTTTGGCGACCCTAAAAGTGCTCCTGTGGGCTGATGGTGTAGTTGAGTGCTTTCGGGGTTCATGGTTCGAAGACGCTTCGATGAAGCAATGTGCAGGACTGAGGGCATATTCGGTCAAGGTCAACGGGCTGCCGGGCCGTGGTCTGGATGTGCAAACAGCGTCAGGCAATTGGCTAATTGGGTTGGTAACACGAGGCTTTGGGGCACTGATCGAGGATTCGGGATATCTCGTGGCCGTTGGGGCGTACTTGCTGCCGGTTGTCTCCAAGTACAGTGAGGCAGGTCCATTTCGAAGTTCTAGCACAGCTCGCGCTACTGCAAGTGGCATGGCAATGCGCAGGAACCGCCTAAGTTTTGTGCTGGATGTGACAGTCGGCAGAAAACGGCCTGTTCAGCACAGCCCAGGTAGCCGCCCACCGAGATTGCGTGCAACTCGCAGTTTACACTTGATTAGTTTGCGAGACGAACCCGAGGCACGTTCGCCCGCCAAACGCATACGCCGGTCTCGGGCTCAACTGGGCAAAAAAATCATTGCACACAGTTGCACAGACAGCAAGATGATTCCTACTACCCTACTTGCCGTATCCGCACGATGCAAGCCGCAACCTTCCAGCAGCCGCAGATAAGATGCCTCAGATCACAGCAGTTCAGGGGCGTGAAATTCCTGCTTTTCGCGTGACTTGCTGAGGCAACCACCTGAGTCGTGGTTGCCCGCAAGACTCCGAAAGACAAGTGGGGGCCGGGAACGACCTGTTTGCATTGCACCGCACTTTCGAGCAACACACGTGAAATGAGAGCTTGTTGCATTGCATTTGTAGATACTCTCAAATGCCTTAAGATGAGAGAGCTTGAACGTTGCGTGTATGCTTGTTTTGTTAACACGCATTATTCGATCTTCCTTTGTGCGAAACATGTCTTCATGAAACTGTTCAGGCCCCAGAGCACACACCACACTCCACTCCCAAATGCCAAGGCTGCCATAGAGTTGTCACCACTAATCACAATGCCCATGCACTGCTCGGCAAGAGTCATCAACTTTTCGCCATCGTTTCATTGCATGCTTGCTGCATTGTATGTGTAGATCCCTTAAACTGCTCGAGTGCCTGAACGAAGGTTTTAGAGCCACAAAAGCACATTAGCAGACAGCAGAGAACAAATTACTCAAACAACTGCTAAGTGGCCGTAATTGCTAAGCAGATGTCTGTGAACAAATGTTGGGATTCTCAGGTGTTAAGCACATGCTGCGGTTTGTATCTCAACAAATGTGAATCAAAAATTCGTCAAGCAGATGTACATCGTGTGTGCTTGTCCGGTGAACGCTGTGCCGCGCTTGTAGCTTCGTGCATACCCCTATCTGTCCCCATTCCCTGGGCACCCGTCTGTTCAGTGCATAGGGCTTGTGGCATTCTCTGGACTTTCACTGGTTGTTAAACGAGACATTGGATCCGAGCCCGGCAATTTTGATCTACAAGATGCAAGTCTAGGGTCCGAGGTTCGGGGGCTCAAGGCGATTTAGAGCGGCTTCCAACCACACAGGCACTGTTGAGTATTTGCACGACGGCTGCAAGAAATGGGTCAACAAAAAACCGTCTAAGAACAACGCCTTGACGGTAGCTACCCTGAGTCTGCGATTAACCACCAGCGAACCCCGTCGGTTGGACCAAGGTTGAAGTAGTGAGCCTGGCCCGCGAGCCGACAGAAGTGGGCCTTTGGGCGCCGCACAGGTCCTCGAAGAACTCAAAGCGGGATGCACTTTCCACTACTTCAATGGCATCTTACGCGTTGCCATGGCAGCGTCTCCCCATCCGTGTTCGTATCAACGTCCGCAAGCTTGCCGTTCTGCTCCGGATCGCCAAAAGCAAGTACCCTGTGCATCTCCCAGAAGAGATTCTCTTGCTTCAGCGGAATCCAAACCAGGTTGTTTGTACTCAGTGCAAGCATTGCGCATGTTGCTAACAAGCTGCGGAAATGCGGAGAGGTCAGCCGTGAAACTTTTGCTAGCAATGGTTGCAGTCCATTCATTCAAAGTTCATTCTTCTTGGTGGTGCAAGTTGTCAACATTGCTTGTAGGCCTGCCTCACTAGGTAGGTTCGGCCGACCATCGCTTTTGTCGGCATGATCGCATGAAAAAGCATACCTCATTTGCTGTGGATCTTGTGACCGCTTGGACAGCTCGGAGAACATTATTTTTCCTTGTTTGTTTTTTTTTGTGTGTGGGTGGGTGTGTGTTAGGGCATGCCGGAATGCGGAAACATGCTTTCTCGGCTCGCTCAGCTTCCACAAGTGCCTTGTGCCAAGATGTTGGCACGGCGCAGGCCCAGCAAAAGCTGTGCGCCTGTGTAGCTAAATTAAACGAGGCTGGTGCTGGGCTGAGTACCAAAACTTGAACAACCCTTGAGCCACACACACCTTAGCTTGACACCTACATACAGCTCGTGTACTACCACAACAGCAACAGGCAACAACCATTCGGTACTCAGTACTCTCCACAGTACAAGCAGTGAGCCCCTGAACACGATACCAGCCCAGCGCGGCATCATGGGAAATTATGGTGCACGTTCGCAATGTTGTTCTGGAGACCATCACGCAGGCCTGTGACGCGTACATGTGTCGTAGAGTACCCCACATGCAGCGGAGTGGTAGTTGAGGAAGTCTTCATACTTAAGTTGCCCATTTCAATTGAGATGTCACAGTGGCTGCTCGTGTCAGGCAAAGAGGATGAAGATGATGGCCGGGGAGAAGTGAAACCGGTAGAAGACCCACCCTTGCTTCCTTCGACTCCGAAGACACCGAAGACGCCCAAGGTTTCGGCTGCAGTTTCAGCTGAGTTCGAGGGTTTCAGGTGGATGTTTCGATTGTTGGTACCGTTGTTCCACTCGTACTTATGCAACGTGTTACGCGTTGACGTTTTTTTGCTTTGCACGCATGCTAGCTGCAGCAGTGTTTTTGACTTGCATGCAGGACAGCGATCCTTCAAACGATTCAAAAGAAGTCAGTTTGGAAAGGAAAAAGCTCAGAGCTGCTTGGCGTAGTTGCGTACTGCTTGGCGCAGTTGCGTACTTGTTGTTGCTTTGTACTGCACGACCACGGTGCATGCATCTTTCTTCCACGGCTTGTGAGAAGTGGATGACGGCAGTGAACTGGTCTTTTTTGGCCGACTGGGTCTCACAGTTTGGATACACATGCTACGCTTGTCACTCGCGAGGCAAGAACCTGGGTACAAGACGTTCCCAGCAAAGTGCAAACACTCACAATGAACTTGAAGAAACCTCCTGGGAAGGCAAGGCATGCTCGCATGAGTTCCACTGCCTCAGTACGGCATCTCGCGACCTCGGTGCTGGGCAGGAAAAATCGGCCAAGCTTGGCTTGGACATAGATTATGCGGAGGCGCTACTCAAGTTCTGAAAGCATGGCATAGCAGCTGCTTCCAGACATTTCCAGACGCTGATGAAAGGGCGCACACATCTCAAGCACAGCTTTCCCTTGTATTTTCTTGCCTCAGGAAGCAACTGCGATACCAATCGTGGAAGTAAATGGTGGGCTTGCCGGACAATGGAATGAGGACAACCCGATGAGGATAGTAAGGACCGCCCTGGCTCACTCACATGCTGTTTTTCACTGAGCTTTCTGCGAGCTTTCTGCAAAAAAATCTGGATTTTACAGCTCGGAACAGAGCGTTGTTGTGTTTTCTAAACGTTCGATGTCATTGCAGGAGCGGTGATTGCATCGTGGCGTTGGGCTTAGAATCCTCGAAGCTTGATTGTGGGCAATTCAGCACGTCAATCTTCCCTAAACCCTAAACCCTAAACCCTAAACCCTAAACCCTAAACCCTAAACCCTAAACCCTAAACCCTAAACCGTAAACCCTAAACCCTAAACCCTAAGCCCTAAACGGAGGCTGTGAATGGCATCTCGAAAGATGTGCCAAACATGCTCAAGACCTGCCTGACATGCGGTGCCCTGGAGCTTTTGATCGTCAAAGGCGGGGCTTCACACAAGCACTTGTGAAGAATCGTCATCGTCATCGTTGTCCCTTTCTCCCTTTCCAGCGTCCATCCGGACTTGTACACTGTTCTGAGCGCGAAGCTTGTGATTTGCATGCCGCACATGCTGAACTTTCTCGTTGCCTGTGTGCTTGCTGGGCATCTTTGTGTCACAGGCGCATTCTCCCAACGCCTCAAGGCGAGCACTCATGCTCTAACGATGACAGCTGATAGTATTCGCGCCACTAGTCATCCATTGGTCACCGCGTCCATGCGTAATGTGTGACTGTGTGGTACCATTCCTGTATTTTCGATGTGCACACACACAGACTTGCACACATACCCACGTCCGTACTTGCACACACGTGCACGCACACAAACGCACAGGAACACTCACCCACTCACCTTGTATACATTGCTGCCATCAAATTTGGACGTCCACGCACGGCAAGTAACGTACAAGTTTTTCGGGTGTTGAGGTAGAAAGTGGATGAAACCTGGTTTACGTGGATGATGCTGCTTGGTGTTGCTCGCTGCGGTACCGCGAGGCTGCGTGGTGTTATCTAGACGCCATGTAACATGCGCTGTTCATCGGTACATCATCGTGGTTAGCTCAAGCATTTACAGCACTGATTTGTTTTTGCAGCATTGCACCGGGGAGAAGAGAGAAAGCTCAAAACATCGCCCCGTGCTTGCGCAACATCTCCTAGCGGAGCAAGTTGCGCTCGAACTTTTTGAGGCTGTTGGAGAAGAGAGACAGCGAAGGAGCAGAAAAAGAAAAGACAACACAACAAAGAACCAAAAGGGAAAGAGATATAATTTATAGACAGAGAAAGAGAGAGTACGAACTCCACTGTTTCGACTTGGTCTGCAGGAAGGAAGGAAGGAGGAAGAAAGAAGGAAGGACAGAAGGAAGGGCGGAGGGAGGAAGGAAGGCAGGAAGGAAAGAAGGAAAAGAGAGGAAAAGGGAAAGAGATGAAAAGAGAGAGAGAGCCAACGAAAGAAAGAGAGAGAGAGAGAGAGAGAGAGAGAGAAAGAAAGAGGAAAGAGAGATAGAGAGAGAGAAAGAGAAACCGAGAGACATCCGCTTCTGTTGTGGTGTCGGAATGAACGCGCGGACAAAGATTCGCCCAGCCCATGAAACAGTTGGACAGTTGCACAGTCCTTGCTTGCACACACACTTTCGGCTTTCATGTCAGTTGTCTGGTTTGCTTCTCAAGGCTTCCTCATGCAAACGTAGCAGGTGACTTTCAGGCATGAAAGAAAGGTGAGTAGTTCCGGCTGGTGGTGTCTGTCTGTGTGTGTGTGTGTGTGTTGTGAAACGTGCGCAGACGAGATAAAGGGTATACAAGGTTGTGCTTACCTTTTTTGTCCTTATTCTTGTTATTGTTCTGGTTCTGGTCGTCGTTGTCGTCGTCGTCGTCGCTTTTCTTGGTTATGCCGCAGTTATGCTGTCGAACCTGCGGCAGGCACGACAGACGAGTCCTGTCCTTGGCATCAGGGTTGCTGTGCTGCTGCTGCTGCTGCTGCTTCTGCTGCTGTTTCATGCACTCAGATCCCAATCATGTCGGTGTTGTGTGATGCAGGATGCGTCGCCTTCGTAATTAAGGTCTGGCATGGAGCCAGTGGCTTCTGGACTGTTAGCAGCCGAGGGGTACTACCAACAGGCCTGGTCTGAAATGGGTTATGACAGCAATGTTGAGTTTGGCCGTTTGGGCTGTATTGCATCTTTGAATGTCGGCGACATTATGTTATTCTTCAGAGTCTTCTTGTCAGGTGGAAGCCAAGCAAATGGCGGCGGCGCAGTCAAACGCTGCCAGCAAGGAGAATCCGAACAACCAGGCGATCCCCCAGCCGTTGTAGCAGTCTATGATGTGCTTCTGACAAGTTAGATCTTTGGGTTTGGGATGTGCATGTATTACGAGCATGTGGCAATGTGTGTGTACGTAACATCGCAGCACATACGGCTTGACACATCTTCAAAGATTGGACGACGCTGCGGATCAGGGAAGAGTGCCGCTATTGTTATATAGCAGAGCCTGCATGGGCACCGAGCGAGTTCTGCCCAAGAAAAGTGGCTTTGTAGTTGATTCAATAAATAAATCTTTAACGCAAGCTATTGTTCATCACCGTTCCTGCTTGAAAGGCTGTTCCAAGTTGAACAAATCATTCTGAAAACAAATCGTGAATATGTTGATGTTGCGCCAAAACGCATGAAGTCTGTGATGACGTGTGCCATTCCAGTATGCAATTGCTTGAAGTCATTCAGGTTGTATGTACCTGGATGAGACCTGTGCAACGTTGACAGCTGCATCAGTGAATGAGATGTGGTGTCAGCGTGCACGCTTCTTCATGCTCTTCCTGAAAAAACCACTAGGCACAGAAGGGCAGAAACTCAACAAGTGCAAGCGCAAGTCAAGTGTAGTTGGTTGTGCAGTTGTGACTGTGTGTGTGTGGGCTAGTGTGGACGTGTGGGTGGGTGAGCGTGGTGGCACTGACGCTGGCAGGCTACTGGGAGCCAGGGCCAGTCGGAGCAAGTCGCCTCCGGCTTAGGATATCCCGTGGCCATGGGCCTTTTCGTGAATGCAGGGGACACGCTTACGATCACTATTATTAGTATCATGATTCGTATTACTCGTATCATAGTCCGTACCGTAGTCTAGTATTGTTGTAGTTGAATGCTTCGGGCAGGATCGCGTAGGTCGAGCCTAGCCGCCCTAGCATTGACGCCGCCTCGGTGTGTTTCTGAGGCCCCAGAGGACTTGGCCAGGTCGTTGGCCCGGAAGCGGACCTTGAACTGGTTCGTGCGTGGCTGACCAATGCGGGACGTGAGCCAGGTTGCGTGCCTTTTGGCAGATGGCATTGTGTTAGGACAGTAGATGTTACAACATTTGCATTTGCATTCGGCCCGTTGCCCTAGGCCAGGTTGTTATCTGTTTGTTCTGCTCATCTACTACTAGTGCGGTCGGTACCGGATGTACTCTGTGAACGTGATGATCGCGGTGCCACTGCCGTTGTTGAACGTCAGTGCGATATGTTCAACAATCGACTCTTCAGCTGGCCTTCCCCAGATGGAGGGAGCCCCAGTTGTGGCGATGATTGCCCCCCTCCCATAAGGGGGAATGGAAGACCATCAGGAATGCATCAGGAGATCAGACAGCAGGTGTGTAGGCTTAGGCTGATGATGATGTCTGTTTGCCCTCGCAGCTGTCTCACTCGGCATAACAGAGTCTCACATCCGCGAAGTTTAGGCAACTTCGCCAACAGAACGCAGCGAGTGGTTTCGCTGAGGATTGGTCCGGAAGTAATGCTTGTCAACTACGGATCGGCATCCAACTCTAAGCCTTCCAATGTTGCAACTCACGCGTGGCCTGATTCTTCAACGAGTTTTCAGATTTCAAAGACATGGTCAGCTGGGAGCAGCGGCACGCCGACCCAGCTGCACATCGTCTACGTTGCTGTGGTGTGTCTGACATCTGTCTCTCTCTCTCTCTCTCTCCTCGCTGCGGCGCTCACTTTTTGCTTTTCGCTTTCTGCTTTCCTGCCACTCCTTGTTTGTGTCGTACCCATGGTCACTCTGTGTCTCCTTCCTCCTGTTCTCTCCCACGTCTCACAACCAAAACGACCGTCTTATGCCAAACCGGTGGTTGCCACAAGGCACGTTGGGAAAATCAAGGGATTGGGCACTGCATTCTCGAGACGCAGGACACGTTGCATGCGCAGTGTCCGTTTACAGTGATCCCTGACTACGGTTCTGCCTTGCTCAAGAGATGGCTCAAGTCAGAAGCGTGCATGAGGCTTCGAGATAAGCCACCTGAACAAGAACAGTTCAGGCGCCTTCCATAGTTCTAGCCGAGTCGTCTACAGTGAAGAAGGTGCAAGAGGCTGGTTTTTGATAATCCTTGCAGAAGCTCGCCACAGACAGCAAGTACAGATGCCAAAAAAGCTTCGTAGCTCATGTCTGGCCATACCGATCCTGATGATGTGACTCTGACGGAGGACCTGGCCAAGAAACTGTGCCAAAGCTTTCGGAAATCCTGGGAGCTTTCGCTTGGAGAACTCGGCCAAAGCTGTCGAGAGGCCTGTATGCTGGCAATCGGTTTCTCTACAGGTTTGCATGTCATGTTAAGCTGCTGTTTAGATTTGTTTGTGGTGGTTTGGCGGCAATGGATGTCGGCTTAGGCTCGGTAGAATGGTGTTACAAGATCTTCTTCAGTTTGGGACACGCCTGAATTGAAGTGAAAAAAGTGTGGACCCCTAATATAAGCCCCAAAATAGTAGGACTCCACCCTTTTGTAAGGACCCCCAATAAGGTGCCGCTAATTTCGGAAACCGCTAACCCTAAACCCTAAACGCGAAACCTGAAACCCGAAACCCTAAACCCTAAACCCCTAAACCCTAAACCCTAAACCCTCAACCCTCAACCCTCAACCCTCAACCCTCAACCCTCAACCCTCAACCCTCAACCCTCAACCCTCAACCCTCAACCCCAAATCCTAAACCCTCAACCCTCAACCCCTCAACCCTCAACCCTCAACCCTCAACCCTGAACCCTAAACCCTAAACCCCAAACCCTAACCCTAAACCCTAAACCCTAAACCCTAAACCCCAAACCCTAAACCCTAAACCCTAAAGAGTCCACGGCTGTCTCTGCCTGAGGCTGTCGCCTCGGTCGGTCTGGCAAGCCCGTGCACAGCTCCCGCGGAGGCCCGGCCATGGCCCTTGCCGAGATCGAGCCCAGAACACTTTAGGGTTTAGGGTTTAGGGTTTGGGGTTTGGGGTTTAGGGTTTAGGGTTTACGGTTTAGGGTTTAGAATAAGAAGTATGAAAAAATTATAGATATAATAACAATATTTAAAATGGCAATAGCAAGAAGCACAATCTTGATACCAACAATAGTAAAGATCATCATCATAAGAATAGTAAGAGTATTCAGAATATTGATAGTCTAATCATATAAATAGTTTAGTCATGATGCATTACTAATTTAAGAATATTAATAATCTAGTAGCAACATTGACCATCTCATGATATTATTAGTCAAATAATACTAGTAATCCAAGAACTCACAATGCTAACAACCAGCTGGCATTGAAAGCCATGCTGCCAGGTTTGCAGCTGGCCAGATTTTCAGACAGATGCTCAGTCGGGCTCCCGGCTGACATTGAGGCGAGTGATGCGAGACTACGCAAGCAAATCTCAGTGGCCACATGGACCAGAAGTGAGGCGTCAGTGTCTCTCTCTCTCTCTCACAGAAGCTGCTCGATTGTATGTGGCAAGCCAACCTTTTTCAACCCCAGGATACAGTCTCTGGTGTGGGCTATACAGCGCTGCTGCCCCAGCTCCACTGTGGACATAAGTGGCACGTGGGATGTTCCTGCTTATACTAACAGTGCTTATAGGGATTATAGTACACGAGGGCTGCTAGAATAAGGGGGAACATCCCAACTGGGCATGCTTATGAACAGGACATCTTTGCAATTCCTGAATCAGCATGTTGTTGCTTTCAAGCCTGCTCGTTGCGCTTGGCTGACCAAGCTGCCACTAGAGCTGACGTGTGTGTGTGTGACCTCGCAGACTCAACATAGTGACAAGCCTGGCAAGGCTGAGATGAACACCCGTGAGCACCCGATTTGTCAACCCAGGAGCTCAGATTCCCAGCCACATCGCCGAGAAGCCGGTGCGGTGCTCAGAAGCTGTGCTTCTACGGTTCATTCTGAAGTCTGGCTCGCCAGGTGGGTTGAGCTTAAGCACGATGTCGCCTTGCGTGTGGACTTGGGCATCTTTGCAACAGTTGAAAGGTGCGGTCGCTTCTCGAGTCGTCGGTGGAGCAGGCGCGAAGTCAACTCAATCATGTTCCTTGACTTCCATTTGCACTGCAGGTCGAGAGGAGAACAGCAGATGTTCGTGTTCCTTCCTTAGGAATGCGAAGATGACATCGCAGCACAGCACTTTCAAAGAATGCAGAGCCCAAAGCATTGAGCAGCAAAATTGATCAAACTTGTGCATCTCGGGCTCAGGACGGGCAGCTGTTTACCGAACGCTTCTACGCCTCCTTCTCTAAGCAGGCTGTCTTTCCGGCTGTAGCTGGGGGTGGGGTTTGATCCACTTAAAACTCAAAACCCACTTGAAACCCACTTAAAAGCCACTTAAAAGCCGCTTAAAAGCCGCTTGGCAGCCACTTGAGCCAAGCCCTTGGGAACGGGCCGATGAGCCATTTTTGCATCATTTTGCCCAGAGGGCGACCCGGGGCTTGGCGCTGAGCTTCAAGGCCACGCCAAGTTGCAGCGGGCCAAGTGCCCCAAAAGTGCCCCAAAAGCGCCCCAGAAGTGCCCCAAAACCAAAAGTGCCCCCAAAGTGCCCATGACCTTCGCAGCCCTGATTTAGACACCATGCCGCTCTGTGCCGCCCTCTCAGGTTGGGAACGATCCTGGCTTCAGAGGTTCCGCATCAGATGAAGCGCGCCTGCAACAAACAGTGCTTCGCTAAGCATCGCAAATGGGAGAGGGCATATTCTGAGCGGGCCCCGTGAGCCTCTTGAGTCACGCGAATTCTGCAACATGTCTGCGCGTGTGAAAGCTGCAGATTCACATCACACTGCAACAGGCTCAGCATGCGCACAGGTGCTGTCAGATGTAGAGAGCTTTTGCCCAGGCTTCATGCCCCAGTCCAGCATGGCTGTGAGGCGCTAGCTGAGGCAACTGGCAGCTAGGGTTTAGGGTTTAGGGTTTAGGGCTTAGGGTTTAGGGTTTAGGCATGAATGCCGAATGGCGACGGCATGCACGATACAAAAGGGAACTCAAACTTTGTGCGCCCCGTAGGCAGCCGTGGAGGCTTTCCTGGAGGCAGCGGCTGCCGTGACAAAGGAGGGCCCTGCCAAGGAGGTCAGCTCGGCATGGGTTTAGGGTTTAGGGTTTAGGGTTTAGGGTTTAGGGTTTAGGGTTTAGGGTTTGGGTTTAGGGTTTAGGGTTTAGGGTTTAGGGTTTACGAGTTAGGGTTTAGGGTTTGGGGTTTAGGGTTTAGGGTTTAGGCTTTAGGGTTTAGGGTTAGGGTTTAGGGTTTAGGGGGTTGAGGGTTTCGGGTTTAGGGTTTAGGGCTTAGGGTTTAGGGTCTTTGCGCAGCACTCTGAGACAACTCTCCTCTCGGCTTCGGTCTCTCTCAGTTTGCTTCGCAAGACTCCTCCGCAGTCTTGACGAGGCCGCAAGGAGGCTTTGGATGCCGCCTGCACTGGATGCAACACAGGCGAAGCAGGCGCGATGAGTTGAAGACCCTAAACCCTAAACCATCCCGAAACCCTAAACACTAAACCCTAAACCTAAACCCTAAACCCTAAACCCTAAACCCTAACCCCTAAACCCTAAACCCTAAACCCTAAACCCTAAACCCTAAACCCTAAACCTTTAAACCCTCAACCCTCAACCCTAAACCCTAAACCCTAAACCTGCCTGTCCGGATCTGGAATCCGGGAAAGGCCGTGCAGCAGGCCTTGCAGCTGCCAGCAGAGTGGAAGGTGCAGAAGGATCCACTGCAGGTGTCCCTTGTTGCAATACACCGGGACTTTTGAGTTGAATGCTCTGTGGGAGCACCCTGCAAGATGGGGGTTCGCGATATTTAGGGGTACCTTTTTGGGGTCATCCTTATAAGGCGATCCTACTATTTGGTATTCTATGTTCGTAAACTCGCTTTCGGCTTCCGAGGCTTCGCAGCTGCCTCAAGCCCCTGGAAGCCTCGCTGCCCTGACCCGATTGGGATGCTGCGCGCCTTTGTGTCGGGGAAATTCGGGACTCTAGAGCGTGCGTTGTGCGTGTGCGTGTGC